CCTCCCCCACATTTACAAACCTGTCTGTGTATCAGGATAAATAATCGAGGGTTGCCTTTAGCCCATGGAGGAAGAGTAACGTTCATGACTCGTTCGCCATTTTGACGGAGACCAAAGTCAAAACCTTAATAAGAAATAAGAAAATAAGAAAAAGGTTAGCTAGTGATGATACAATGAATACATATTTGATATCAAGGGACAGGGTGTGCGAGTCAACTTGAATACCTTCAAAGTTCYCTAAGAACTCCGGGAGAACGAAAAACTCTGGAATGAGTTCCTTGACGTCTGTTGATGACTCGTATGATGATAGACGCCACGTGGTTGCCATCGAATGGAATGTTCTATCAGGAATGTCGAAGTTGTTGTCTGAGACATGGAAAAAAAATACTTAAGGTTCAAGGACTGCTAATTTTGTGGCTAATAACCTCCCACGTAAAGAAGTTTATGGTGTGAATACCTTGGTATTGTAGGAACATCTTGGTGAATGGTGGTAGTCTGACCAGGAAGTGTAATACGGTTCCACTGTTTGAGTAATGGGAGCCGTAGTGATAGGGTGCTAACAGAGCGTCGTTTTGGCCACTGCGTTCGTATTCCTCTTTAAGCCACTGTATTGGTAATCAAACAACAAGTCCATGTATTATTGAGGAATAGGTCAATACGATCATGTAACCTACGAACTTACCCATCCACCCGCCCATCCACCTACCTACCCACCAACCATCTACCAACCTGCCAAAATACCTTCCCAATCACCAATCTACCCAACCACTAACCTATCAACCTACCTATCTACCCAATCCACCCACCTACCGACCTACCTATCTACCCAATCCACCCACCTACCAACCTATCTACCCAATCCACCCACCTACCAACCTATCTACCCAATCCACCCACCTACCAACCTATCTACCCAATGAATTTACCCACCTACCCACCTATCTACCCAATGAATTTACCCACCTACCAACCTATCTACCCAATGAATTTACCCACCTGTCAACCTATCTACCCAATGAATTTACCCACCTGTCAACCTATCTACCCAATCAACCCAATATTACCTACCCAACGACCCACCTACCAACCTACTTTCCCAACAATCAATCAATTCATTTGAATATTAAGAGTATTTCAATTCGAAATTCTTACTCGGAATCTTTCTTTGTAGCTTGTCTCCTTGTTAATACTTTGTGCTGCAATGGGCTTGGATAAATCTCTAAAAACGACAAAAGCAATCAACTTGTGTTTGGTGGAGTCTGACATAACAGCAAGGAGGACTAGCTCCCTAACTAGGGGATGACTAAGGGATACTAGATGGGTTATGTACCATACCTGAATACCTTGCTATCATTCAGGTCAAGTACTTCACTGGTAAAGTCTGACAGAATGAAGGGAAATACTGGATACTGCATCAGATCGTTGAATGTTCTGCCTGCCATTTTGTTCAACTCGGTCAAATACTCGAAGTTCGACAGATTTCCAGTTCTCCACCTGGTTGGGAAAAGGGCAACGCCAAAAAAGAGTTCCGTTATATAGTTTGCACTATTTAAATGACAAATATTTGGACCTCATGCTCTGATTTTGTTATAGGAATCGTGTCTTACTTGGCCGTCGTTGCGTTAAGGTTGTCGGAGATAGGAGTATCGTAAATTGGCAATCTTCTCTGTTTGAACTCTTCAATCACAACCTCTCGGTCCTTAACATACATTAAACAGCAATTACTTTGATTCTAATGAATGTACATCACCTGGGAGTATTTGGAAACCTGGACAAAGGGGACATTGGGTATAAGGTATCCTGGACAATAGGAACATTGGGTATTGGAAACCTGGAC